GAAACTCCTATTGCAGAGTCTAGGCTACCAGTAACAGCGCCAAACGCCACTCCTCTTCACAGAGGCTGCAAGGGCCCTCTCTGAGTGTCCAAGGGTTGCTATGACAGAAATCAGACTGGGTCAGGAGAGGATACTAAAACATCACCCATCCATTTCTTGTAGTTCTGGAGACCAGATGTCCAAAATCGAGGAGCGGGTATGGTTGTACTCCCGTCCAGGCTTCAAGGAAGGGTTCTTTGGCTTCTTTCAGCTTCTGGTGGCTGCTGCCATCCCTTGGTTTATGCCCATGCCATTCTAGTCTTTGCCTGGTCTCCATGAACTTCTCTGTGTCTACGGATCTTCTTCTGCTTCTTTTAAGGATGTCGTTCACTGAATTCAAGGGTCACCAAGAAAATCCAGAATAATCTCATGCTGAGATTCTGAATTACCCTGCAAAGTCCTGTTCTCCAAAAGAGGTCATATCCACAGCCGCCTTCGCAGGCCTCACAAGGAGCACTAAGTAGGCATGTGGGGATCAGGAGGCATGTCTTCACACAAACCTCAAGCACGGCTACAATGACGGTTCACAGGCAGCCCCTGACAGTCAGGCACCCTTTTCTTAATCCACATGCTGAGTCCATACAGCAGATACAATGTGCTGAGTGGAACAAAAACAAGCTCAATAATTTATAGGATTGTCTCACGTATGTAATCAGAAGAAAAAAACTGGCCCCAAACAGGTAATCAATAAATAAAGTAAAAACACACCAAACCTTTAGTGTCTGTAACTGGACATATTCCCTAACATACAGCACTGACTTGCAAAAGCTGCACAGTCAGAATGGGGTGTAAGACCAACCTTGCGCCTGTCATCAGGAAGGGACCCCAAGCACAGGCAAGGGCCCAGGCTGATGAGAGAGCCAGAAGAAACGGTTATATGGCCTATGGCTCCTCTCTCTCAAATCCCTTATTGTCCACACACGATGCTCCCCTGAAAATAAAATCCATCCAGTACCAGTACCAGCAACTCTGAGGGACAGGAAGTGATGGGCGTGGTATCTCAGTTCCAAGGGGCTTACTTTGGCTCTACTAGTGATGGCATAGCATCCACAGATGTCATGTTTATGGTGACATCTGAATGCAGCTAGTTGTTTCTTTTTATATCTCTGCAGACAGTAGGCATCTGGCAAAACCAAACTAAAACCCTAACAGCAACTGGTACGCAGGTACCAGACCACAGCAAAGCATGAATGAAGAGTCCTCAGGGAGTCTGCAGGAAGGGGATGTGTGCTTTTGCTTTTATCTGAGAAATGAGGACCTTATATCTGATTGTCTTCTACAAACCATCTGTCTGTCCAGCTGTCTCCAGCCAGGCTAATGAGGGTACAGGTACAGCATAAGAATCTCTCCAGCCTGGGGAGGTATCACCTGCATCAATCTGACATGAGAGCTTCTCAAAACCACTGATCATCTCCCTTCCCTCTTTACTGTTGGGCCCCAGCCCCATGGGGTCTCTGTGAGTTGCTGGTCAGCCTACAAGGGCAACTTGTTTTCCAGTCCAAGTGCTTTCTGTTTTCTAGTCCTGGCTTACTGCCCTGGCCTTGACCCTCTGACATCAACATCCAGCAGGAGGAAAACAATGATCTCTTCTACCTGGGGTTTTTTCCACTGTGCTGTAAACCTGTATAAAAAGCTCCTCCCTCCTACAAGGGAGGGACCTGTTAGCACTTGCAATGAAGACACACACACACACACACACACACACACACACACACACACACACACACACACACACACACACACACACACACACACACACACACACACACACACACACACACACACACACACACACACACACACACACACACACACACACACACACACACACTCTCTCCTGGCAATAAAGGCAACACATGCATTCTCTTAGTACAAACAAATGGACATCTGGTCTCTCTTTCCCGATACCTTGGAGTTGCTTATGGCGCGGGCGCTGCATTTACCTCATGTTTTTCCTTTGGCTGCAAAGGGTCACTTTCCCCAATCCCCATTAAAGGGGCTAGACCGTTTCAAGAGAGAAAACTCCAGCTAGCCAGGCATGGCTTTGAGATTCAGTCCCACACTTGGGCAAACAACAACCCCACCCAAAGCCTCAAGGTTCTAACTTCTAAGATCTTGAAGAAGCAAAGAATACCATGCACCTCGTAAAGCACCTGAGCCAACACATTCCAATATGCTGCAATTAACACAGGATGTTAGTGTGTGGGCTGCCAGCAGTACCTGCTCTGTTTTCACTTTGTTATAGATTTGTATTGTTGTCTCCTTTCTTCCTTCCTTTCTCCCTCCCTCCCCCCCCCCCCGTATGTGTGTGAATCATCACACACACACACACACACACACACACACGTCAGAGGGCAACTTGTGGGAGTCAGTTTTCTCCCTTCACCAAATGAATGCTAAAGATTGAATTCAGGTCATCAGTCTTGGTGGCAATCACCCTTACCTACTGAGCAATCTTGCTGGACCAGTATTTTGTTTGTTTCTTTTTATCTTGATATATTTTCTTATCATGTAGTTTAGGCAGGCCCAAAACTAATGGCAACCCTTCTGCTTCAGCCTCTCAAGTACCAGGATTGTAGGTTTTGAAGCACAGTGTATGACTCCACCCTATTCCACCAGTATGGACACTCCCTCCCAAAAGTAATATGGCTTTGGACTAAATTAAGTCAGAGCTGGACTTATCAACAAAAGCTCTTAGAGGTAATTTAGTAACAACCATATTTTTATAGGCATACAGTAAAGGAATTACTAGAATGTAGATTCTAATCCCAGTGGATTCTGAATACAGATGGGGTCTGTGAGCCCAAAGACCATTCCCATGGAATGCTGCTGGCTTGAGCGACACAGGCCACTTAAAAAGGGCTCCCAGCAGGATCCTAACTCATCCCATACTCTGTAGAGACTTTACCTAGCCAAGGCAGACGACAGGGCTGTCAGAGAACTCTCAGTCTTGAAGGCAGGAGCCCTAGAATCAGAGAACCCCAGCATGGTGGTCACAGCAGCCATGGCAGTGCCTACTAAGTGCAAGGCCAACTGTCCAGTACTGCCATTTTACTCATGCTCCAGACCAGCTGCCCATGCAAAGCTCCACAGAGACTGGAACAGCACCTGGAGCTTCGAGTAGCATGCCAAGGGAAGGAGCTGGGTGCTCAGACCTAGTTCAGTAGCATTGTTAATATGCAGGCTTTATAGGTCAGGGTAAGGGGAAAAGGACTGAGCTGCCACATTTAAGAAGGTGGCATTAGGGTTCTCCAAAGAAACTCTGAACTATAATACATATTAAATTGGTTCACATGCTCACAGAGGCCATCTGCAAGGTGCAAAGCCAGGGCAGTCAGATCCTCAGAATGAGAGAGATCTATGTTGTACAGCCTCAGGTAGATATTGAAGGCCCAATGATCACTCATACAAATCCTAGAGTTGAAAGGATAAAGAACCTAGAGTCTAATATCCAAGGCAAAAGGCATGCCTGCTCGGGAAGAGACAGGCCAAATGTTTCTCTTCCTCCACATCATGTTGGATATGGGCCTAGCCTACTGGATGGTCTGTGTTGCCCATATTCAGGGCAGTCCTCCCCACTCAGATCACTGACACCCATGAAAGTCTTCTCTGAAACACCCTTGCACACCCCATGCCTTACCAGTTCATTCAACCAATCTGCTGATACCCAAAGTCAGCCTTCAGAGCCAATGGGTACACCATAGTCAAAACACAAAACAGTACTTTTGTTTCCTCTGGCTACGGAATGCTGCCCTGACAAGGGATGTGCACCAGTGAGGTACAGAACAGCAATCAGACAAATGCAGCCTATACATGGCTGGAGGAGCCCTGGGTCGAGTCCCTATGCATATAACCAGTACTAACCATCGGCAAAGGTAGGCCTCGATGCGGGGAGATTCAGAACACAGGACAAACCAGATCCAGTCTTACTTCTGAAAACTGCACCAGCTATGGATTACATGGACCTTAGGAGACCACAAGAGGATCCAAGGCAGGTCAGGGACCTGGCAGCACTGAGACACATGCTTGAATAAGGGGGCATCTCCACATGAGCAACAGTAAGTTCTATTTAGGATTTGACAGCACGATGAGGCAGAAGACACTCCCAATCCCCACAGTCACTGACAGTCCGATCCACTCAGATCCTAGTCTATGCCTCTCTCTGAAACACAAGTGTAGCCAAAACAGAGCCACTGTGAGCGTGAGAACTTCCTTCTTTACTCACCAATACTAACTAGGATACCTCAGAGAGGCCGGCCATCACCAGGCACCTCTTGTAGAATCTAACAGATATTTTATTTTATATGTTATATATGAAGTTTTTTTTCATCCAAAGACTTACTGTTTCTCTTTTCATCTTTATCTCTCTTACCTACCCTGTTCCCTCGGTAGGAAGAAAGAGGAAACAAGTTAGTCTGAGATGAGCTGTGCTGCAGTTTTCCTCTTGGGTGCCAGCATACAGTCAGTCACCACTCGTGAGAGTCAGAGCTATCAGGAGGGAAGGCTGAGCTGCACACGTCTGGCCAACCACACAAACTGGGGTGTGTGTGTGTGTGTGTGTCTGACAACAAGTGAGTTCCTCATTCGGAGTCTCACCTCACTGTCACATTCTTGAACTTGACCTTGTGCCTTGCCAGACGCTAGGTGAGATCTCCCTGGTGACTTATGAAATCCAGACTGGCACCTAGGAAAAATGCCACCCCCATTTTCATTTTAATGTACTTGTTTTTGCCTTTATATATAGGAAAGTGGGTTCTCAGGAATGACTAGGACCTTGAGAGGTAGAGGATACAAATGGGAAGGCCCATAGAGATAGACTCTGAGCAGGAGTGGGTTGCTAAGTATGCAGACAATTACTGTAACTAAAGGTCTCACTGCTCACTGGAAATACTTGGGCAAAGGGGCATCACAGCAGGTTTGAGATCTACCGAGGAGCTCTGCACACAGGTGGCCATACTTACCAAAACACACCTGCCCGGCTCAAGGCTCCAAAGGGAACTCTCCATGTTAATCTTGTGGGTGAGTTTCCCTTCCATGAGGACACGTTCTCCATTCTCTTCCAGCATGGCCACTCGGATGGAGCCACTGCTAAGGGCCACAGACACCTGAGGACACACCAGGAAAAAGATCATCTTACTTATGAAGGTAGCAGCAACTGCATTTCAGCTGTGTACACACTGTGACACTTGGGTTCACCAAGCATCTCTGTGAAGAAAGCCATCCCAGCCTCGTCCACATTCCAAGCAACCTGCATTCTATCTGCTCCTTCAGGCAAATGTCCACTGTGGTGGAAGCTGCTGGATTCCTACCCAAATCCTTCTACTTTCTGCAGTTAGAGAGACTGGTTCTCAGGCTAGAAGGCAAGCAGAGAGATGGGAGTTGGGTGCTTCCTTTTACCTCCCCTGTGACTACCTAGAGTTTGCAGAAGCCTCAGCTGGAGGTTCCAGAAGGAATCCTCAGTGTTGCTCTTATGGTGAGCTTCCTTTCCATGGGGATCCACTTGTTTTCCTCTTAAACGGCCACAGACAGCCCCTGGCAAGAGCCTGACCTCTGACCTCTTAAGGCCCTGGCCCATTGTGCCCTGAATACCTGAGCTGCATGCCCAAAACTTTCTGGCAAAAGACATGTGTGGCCTCTTCTTTCTCAGAGCTGCTATATAGGTTGTGACCAGAGGTTCGTCTTCACTCAGGATGGTAAAAACTCGTTCCTTCAGTTTTGTTTTTGTCTGTTTGAAACAGGTTCTCACTTTATAGCCCAAGCTGGCCTGGAACTCGCTACATAGATTGGGCTGGCCTTGGACTCACAGAGATCCACCTACTCTTCCTCCTGAGTACTGGGATTAGAGGAGTGTGCCACCATGCTTGGCCTTTAGCTTGGTTCTTTATGAAGCTGAGCTCAGTCACCTTCCTCCTTTTTTTTTTTTTTTTTTTTTTTTTGGTTTTATGAGACACGGGTTTCTCTGTTTTGGAGGCTGTCGGTCCAGCCTGGCCTTGAACTCACAGAGATCCGCCTGCCTCTGCCTCCTGAGTGCTGGGATTAAAGGCGTGCGCCACCAACGCCCGGCAGTCGCCTTCCTCCTACTGAGGCCGCACTGGGCAGAAACTGTCTATGTGTCTACTTTGTGTGGTGGGTGTACCCTTCCTTCCCAATGTGTGTCTCCACAATGAACTGGGAACTGTCAGGAAAGGTGCCCACTTTATACCACACAACCAGCCAGCGGATCCAAAGCAGAAACATGACCCCAGAAAGGTGTAAGTTCAGTAGTTGGGAGAGAAAACTTGTATTTGCTTCACTTACTCTTTTATTTAAATTTTAAAAAAGGCTTACTAGTTTATGTGTATGTGCCTAGATGTATACATGTGCACCTATGCATGCAGGTGCCTGTAGATCCCAAAAGGAACTGGAGCCCCTAGAAGTGGAGTTACATGTGGTTGTGAACTACCTGATGCGGACACAGAGAAATGAATCCAAGTCCTCTACAAGAGTAGTAAATGTCCTTAAAACACTGAGCCATCTCCCAAGCCCCACACTCATTCTTTTTTGGAGTATGTGCACAGAAGTTAACTAGTTGCATCTCCCTAATTTGAAAATTTTACACTAGAGCTGTTCAACCTGTATTTGCATTAATGCACATACTAAACAGACACTGGGAACAAGTATACTACACTTATTTCTCTAAAAGGTGTATGAAATTAAAACTGGGAGGCTATCTGGTAGATGCTCATTAAGTACTTAAACTCTTAATTTTCCAAGTCAGGTACTATTTGCTGATGAGTTACAATAGTAAAACCTGTATAATTTTGTATATATGTGTGCTGGGGGCACGTGTGCAAGTATCTGTGTATGAGTACGTGTGCATGTGTGTTTGTCAGAGGACAACTTTGGATGTTTTTGAGGTCTTTCACTGGCCTGGAGCTTGATTAGACGAAGCTGGCTGGCCAGCAAGACAATAATCTGTCTGTCTCTGCCTCTCTAACTCTAGAATTATAAGCGTTTGCCACCATACGTGGGTTTTGCTCCCCACCCCATCCCACTGTTTAAATGAGGGTTCTGAGGATAGAACGCAGGTCCTCATGCTTGCATGACAAGCATTTTACCAAGTAAACTATCACCCCAGCCCCTAAATGCATTCTTAAATATCCATCAAAAAAAAAAAAGGAGAGGGAGAGGGACAGGGACAGGGAAGGGGAGAGGGACAGGGACAGGGAAGGGGAGAGGGAGAGGGAAAGGGGCGGGAAGGGGGAAAGGAAGAGGGGGAGGGGGAGGAACCCACTGGAGAGATGACTCAGTGATTAAGTGAGGGGCTCATCTAAAAGACCCAGATTTGATTCCCAGCACCTACCCACATGGCAGGTTATGAGAGTCTGCAACTCTAGTCCCACCCAAGGGGTCTAACACCCCATCCTGGCCTCCTGGGCACCAGGCACACACATGGGACAAGCACACATGCAGGACACCCGCACATATGAAAGGAAATTAAAATGAAAGGGGGAGACGGGGTTTGGAAGAATTTCTTCTTAAAGAAAAAGAAGTGTGGGGGCGGGGGAGGGTAGATCATACTTGACAGTGATCCCACCTGACATTTCTCAGTGAAAATGCTGTGTGTGTCTTGAGGGAGGAGGAGATAGAAAGACTGCCTCTACTTGCCATAGCCACACTGCCATGTTCAAGTGCAGGCTCAGGGAGGAATCTTCTCATGGGACTTCAGGATTTATCGGCACTGACCTCTCCTGTTTACTCCATCTTTACCTGGATGCTCCTGCTGATTACAGTGTAGGTCCACTGTCCACCTTCTAACAGCCAAAGAAATGTAAGCGAGTGTGCCACGGCTCAGCTCATTCCTGACAATCATGACAAATTCATCTACTTGAATTTCTACTTGCAAAGAACAGACACAGGTCTTGGATCCTCCCAAAAACAAGCTCATCCTAACAAACTCCCAGCAGTTTTATACAGCATGTTAATTTCCAGATTTGGACCTGACTCTCACAGGACCTAACCAGAGTAATGAACTAAATAAATTCTCAAAGGTGGTAAGTAGACAAGGCGCCAGCAGAAAACACCACTTTGGGAACATCTCTCTGACCTGCTGAGGTCTACCAAATGACATAACAAAGAAAAAAGCACCAATGGAAGAGCCACGGAAGGGGAGAGCTGATGAGACGCTACCACGCCTGTGAATGCAGACAGGCACGTGGCACAGCTGCCACGGGCTGGGGAACACATCTGGCAGCAGCTAGTTGCTCTGTTTGGGAGAAGGCAGGCACAAGAGCAGAGGCACAGTGGGAACAGCGTAGAGTCAGCCCCAGGACCAGCTGCACGAGCAGAGGCAGCCTTCCTGCAGAGACTGGCCTGCATCCAAGGGGCTGGGTGATGACCATGCTCAAAACACTATTGCTCAATCACAGCCACCATCAAGACCTCACACCTTATAAGGTAAACCTAACTGCCAAGTCTCTCAGCTGGTAATGGTGGGAAAACCAGACCTCTGAAATGCAACCAAGAATACCATCAATAAAGCCCTACACCCACGGCAATGTGGAAAAATACTAAATATCAACAAGAAAAAAAAAAACCTAGTAAGGAAGTGAGAATTCTCTCTTATGAAAAAGCCAGCAGCATGAAGAAAAAAAGAGCTAAAAAGTAAAACAAAATGATAGACTTAATCAGGAAAAGTATATAAATATTTCTGTTTTTTAACTTTGCAGAAATTTAAGATGATATGAAAAACATATTGGATCAAAAATAAAAAAGAACTAAAACATAATTGCAAAAAATAGGAAAAATTTCAATATAGAGGCAAAAATGCAAGGCAAAGAAATTAGATAAAGAGATCAATTTACTAAGACAATATGATATCCCAGAAATTCTAATTAGAATTCTTATTAGCTGATTTTCTAAAAGTGTAAACACTATACCTTTATGTTGAGAAGACTCCCCTGAGAGCTGAGCAGAATGGACACAGGATGACTTAAACTCATGTGCTTTGGTAACAGTTTTAAGATCCTATTAATTTTGACGTGATAAAGTTTCCTCACAAAGAAACCAAGTAAATGAGTCAGTGGCCTGGGATGTGAGGAGGAAGGAAAGGGTCTGCTCAGTAAACCTGGTCTGCTGTTAACCTGACCATCTGAGTTCTACCCAGAGACCCACCAGGTGAAAGGAGAGAACCAATTCCTTAAGTTGTCTTCTGACCTCACATGTCATGGCATGCACATATGCACAAACGAATAAATACATAAAGAATAAAATGTAATTAAAATGCAAAAAATGCCTTCCTCACACATCCAAAGTGAAAGGTGAAATAAAATAAATGCATTTTAAGGCATACAAGATCTCTCTATCACATATCACTCAAGGGGGAAAAATACACTAAAAGAAGTAATGTTCAACTAGGATCTGAAACACAGTGGTGCTTTCACACCAAAGTGCAACTGGAAACAGTCAGCCAGTCACACTGGGGTCACAGGAGATCATCAAAAGGAAACGATTTCTGGACAACACACAGTATGACTGAATCTTAGAACTTGAAGGTCATGGGGGAAAGAACATTATTTTTGGCAATATAAAAAGAAAAGCAGCCAGGTGTTGGTGGTGCACACCTTTAATCTCAGCACTCAGGAAGCAGAGGCAGGCGGATCTCTGTGAGTTTGAGACCAGAGCTAGTTCCAGGACAGCCTCCAAAGCTACAGAGAAACCCTGTCTCAAAAAACCAAAAAAGAAAAACAGAAAAGAAAGGCAGTAAAAAAAGAAAGAAAGAAAGAAACACTTAAAAACCAAAACGATAGGAGAAATTCCTAATTCAAAGGGATGCCAGTAAAAATGAAGTGAAGGGGATCCTAAAAAGCTCTCTGGCAAAACCTGTCAGCATCAACTTCTATGAACTTTGGAATCTAGCCAGGGAAAGCTACAGAAGAAAACCAGCAAGTTTGGTGACATCCTACTTTGCCCTAACCTCGTCTCACTCTCTGTTCAGGGCAGGCCCAATTCCAGTGAACTAGTCACCACTATAGGAGCAAAACATCTCCAAGAACTACCATTATCTAACCCAACAAAGGCTCTTTAGAAGACCCTACCAACAAGGAAGGGGTATATACATGTGCAT